CACTTCCAGGGATTTAAATAAAGCTGCCAGGGCAGAATATGAAGTCCCCAGAAATCATAGTTTCTCTTCATATCTTCTTTTCCCCATGGATAGGTTATGCAGGTAGTCTTGGCTTGAGCCAGATGAAAAATTCCTCTACCAGAGTGCCTAAAATGGCAGGATGGGGGGAAAGTTTCTATTCGCACCAAGACAACAACCTGCCAAGAGCACACAGGAATATTTTCACCAAGTCAGAGTGAGAAGCTGAACCTAACAGCGCCTCTGACACAGACCTGAAAATGGCTGTGCACCAATATTCTCCATCTAACTTGATTAACCTCCAGCAATTCTGCCAAGAAGACATCCTAAGTTTGTAGGTTTGATTCCAAGAACACCAAAGGCTGGCATTTCTCCTTTAACCGCCTTCTTCTTGAAACACCTGAATACAAACAATCAAAATGAGAAGTTTAAATCTTTTCTTTGATCTTTTAAAATATTTTGTTACAGTTGAAGATAGTGTGTTGGGTGATAGAAGGAAAGGATTTCATTTATTTCCTTTTTATTTGAAAGTGTATGAAAACTGTATTTCTACCACAGAATAACATGATTCACATTTGACTTGAGATTCATCTTTATTCATGCCTTGGTGCTGCCGAGCCCAGCACAGCTAACCTTTAGATTTAACCTTGAGAACAAGTGCAGATACACGTCCGTGTGGAGATCTTTCCCAGTGAAAGTTCATATCAGGCCCTGAGCTGTCTCATAACGAAGCATGGAGAGGATTGTGTTACTGTTGTCACAGTTCTGGGTCTTTGTGACCCAACATTTTGAGTTCTTGTGTTTTTTATGGTTTTGTTTATTTTATATTATGGTTTATGTTCTGCGTCCTTTGTGCTGTTGTGATTATTGTTCTTGTTATCCTAGGCTTTGGTTATGGCTGTTAAGGTTTCAGTTCTTAGGTTTTGTTAGATGTGTCCACTCTGTGCCTTTCTGTCCTGCGTTTCAGGTCTTTGTCCTGTCTCCCCGGTCTCTGTTAAGTTTACATGTCTAGAGTTCAGTCGATGTGTTTCCTGTTTTACTTTGAAGGTCCATGTCTCATGTCAGTGTTTCTAGTTTTGCGCTCCTTGTCTCGTCCGGCCTAATAACTCCCAGCTGTGCTCTCCTTCTGTGTCTCATTCCCTCGTTGTCCCTCAGTGATTTTAAGCCCTGTGTTTCTCTTTGTTAGGGTTGTGATCTCCCTCATACATGTCTGTGTGGTCTCTGCCTTCCAAGTTTATTTTGTATATTCAAGTTTAGTTTTTCTCGTGTCCAGCATTAAAGCCATTTTGAGTTTACGTTGTGCCTCTGCATTGAGTCTGCATTTTGGGTCCTTTCCTGCCTCCCTCCACATTAGGGCTGCCACGATTAGTCGACTATCAAAATCGTTGACGACTGAATTAATAGTCGACGTGTCGTTTGAAGCTTTGTAAGATCACAAAAGACGCAGGAATAAGTAGCAGGATTTAAGAGTGTAATAACGGACTGAAACAGAAGATGGCAGCACTGCATGTACAAGGATGCCAGCTGCCGTTAAACCCCGAAGAAGAAGAAGAAGCTGTGTCCCAGAATTCATAGCGTGGCCCAGCTTAGTTTCCAACAATGGTGGTAGCTAGCTAGTTTTAATATTACTCTTATTATTCTTTCTGGGTCACTTAAGAGCAGATGCTGCTGGTGCAGTAAGCTGTACTTTTATGTCCAGTGGATGATGATCTGATTAGTGGACTAATCGCAAAAATAATCGGTGACTAGTCGACTATCAAAATAATCGTTTGGGGCAGCCCTAATGTCGGAACAATCAAAATGTTGCATTCGGTACCGTTGAAGTCGCCTCTCAGTGAGTCAGTGCTGTCCTTTGACCACACAGTGACTGTTTTGGTCTTGTACGTTGGTCTTAAGTAGAAAGGATGGTGAGCAGAACTTCCCAAAGGATGTCTTCATGTAGCAGGAGGAATCTTTGATATTACCGTAGTACTTCTGTAGTATTTTACTATCCTGGAGTAAACATTTCAAATATAAAGTCAGCAGGAATAAATACAGGTGCTCCCAGGTTATGCTGCAGGTGATCAAAGTCATTTGGTTTGTAGCGTTTGTTGCATTTGCAGATGGAGGGACGCACATATAATGTAACCAATCACCTGTCAGTGGGACAGGTGGCATTACTGTTCCCCGTCAGTCCAGGATTTATTTTTATCTATCTATCTATCTATCTATCTATCTATCTATCTATCTATCTATCTATCTATCTATATATATATGTTTGTGAGAGAGATGGTTTCATCTGATGAAACCTGAAACATTCACGCCGTCACCTTGATGATTTACGATTTACATGTGTGTGTATAAAATAGCTTACTGGCTGCACGAGAACTAAAACCACATGCATTAAAATAAACAAAATCCCTCAAGTATTGGATACGTATCCATTGATTTTAATGCAATTATTTTCCAATTTGAATATAATTACAGTATTTCATTTAATGTAATACATTTAAGACCCAATTGACCTTTTTTAGTGGTCATCAAATAAAAAGATAAAGGCCAGAACTGTGTTTTTGGCCTTTATCTTTTT